GCCCTGCTCTGAGCCCAACCAGGGGCTGCACCTGGGGATTGGGCCTGCCCTCTGCCACCCGGGAGCGGGCCTAAGCCAGCAGGTCGTTATCTCCCGAGGGGTCCCAGACTGCGAGAGGGCACAGGCCGGGCTGAGGGACCCTCCCCTCCCCCCCGAGTGCACAAATTTTTGTGCACCGTGCCTCTAGTCCTATATAATAAAAGCCCAGTGACCAAAATGGCAGAACAACCAGAACAACCAGAGACCAGAACGGCCCTGCCTTCCCCCACCCCCCAGCAAGTGGTTAGGGGCAATCAGGCAGGCAGGCAAGTGGAAGTGGTTAGGAGTGATCAGGCAGGCAGGCGAGGGGTTAGGGGTGATCAGGCAGGCAGGCACAGGCAGTTAGGGGCGATCAGGCAGGCAGGTAGAGGCGATTAGGGATGATCAGGCAGGAAGGCAAGGTGGTTAGGGGTGATCAGGCAGGCAGGCAGAGTGGTTAGGGGCGATCAGGAAGGCAAGCAGGCAAGCAGTTAGGAGCCAGTGGTCCCAGATTGTGAGAGAGTGCAGGCCGAACTGATGTATCTCCTCTCTCCCCATATGACCCCTTTTCTCCCCCATTGACCTCTTCTGGTCTGCCCCCACCACCCACCCACTGCCCCAGGCCTTCACCCCTTATTGTCAGTGACCATGGGTTAAACATATAAGTTCTTTGGTTGATCTCTCACTTGGGCTGTTTCCAAATCTTAGATATTATAAATTACACTACTATGAACATAGGGGTGCATATGTCCTTTCTGACTGGTGTTTCTGATTTCTTAGGATATATTCCTAAAAATGGGATCACTGGATTAAATGGGAGTTCCATTTTTAATTTTTTGAGGAAATTCCATACTGTTTTCCACAGTGGCTGCACCAGTCTGCATTCCCACCAGCAGTGCATGAGGGTTCCCTTTTTTTCCACATCCAAACCAACACTTGTCACTTGTTGATTTGTTGATGATAGCCATACTACCCAAAGCAATATATATATTTAATTCAATCCCTATTAAAATACCAACAGCATATTTCACAGATCTAAATAAATACTCAAAAAATTTATATGGAACCAAAAAAGACCCTGAATAGCCACAGCAATATTGAGAAAGAAAAACAAAGTTGGAGGATTCACAATACCAGATATCAAGTTATACTACAAAAACCACTGTATTCAAAACAGCCTGGTACTGGCACAAGAACAGGCATGTAGATCGATGGAACAGAACAGAGAAACTAGAAATCGACCCAAGCCATTATACTCAATTAATATTTGAAAAAGGAGGTAAGAGCATACAATGCAGTAAAGACCGTCTCTTCAATAAAAGGTGGTGGGAAAATTGGACAGGTACATGCAAAAAATAAAAATAAAACTAGACTACCAACTTACATCATACACAAGAATAAACTTCAAATGGATAAAAGACTTAAAAGTAAGATGTGAAACCATAAAAATCTTAGAAGAAACCATAGGCAGCAAAATCTCAGACATCTCTGGTAATAATATGTTTCCCAATACATCTCTGTGGGCAAAGGAAACTAAGGAGGAAATAAACAAATGGAACTACATCAAAATAAAAAGCACCAGCAAAAGAAACCATCAACAAAATGACAACAACTTGCCAAGACCGGTTTGGCTCAGTGGAGAGAGCGTCGGTCTGTGGACTGAAAGGTCCCAGGTTCGATTCCGGTCAAGGGCATGTACCTTGGTTGCGGGCACATCCCCAGTGGGAGGTGTGCAGGAGGCAGCTGGTTGATGTTTCTCTCTCATCAATGTTTCTGACTCTCTATCTCTCTCCCTTTCTCTCTGAAAAAAATCAATAAAAATATATTTAAAAAAACAACAACAAAAAACAAACAAAAAAACAAAATGACAACAGAGCCCACTGCATGGGAGAACATATTTGCCAATGATATATCCAATAAGGGGTTAATTTCCAAAATATACAGGGAACCATACAACTTAACAAAAATCAAATTAAAAAATGAGCAAAGGTCCTAAATAGACACTGCTCCAAAGCAGATATACAAATGGCCAAGAGACATATGAAAAAATGCTCAAAGTCACTAATTGTCCAAGAGATGCATATCAAAATGACAATGAAATATCAGCACCTCACACCTGTCAGAATGGCTACCATCAATGAAACCATGTATATTTAGAGAGGTCTACCTTCAGCTGTCCCAACAAAGGCAACAGAAATGTGATGATGTCATCTTGGACAGTAATGGTATTTGGAAGTGGATTAGATTAGGTCACCAGGGTGGATCCCTAATGAATAGGATTAGGGATTAGTATCCTCATGAAAGAGATCCCAGGGAGCTCCCTTGCTATCCTCCACCTTGTGAGGACATAGCAAGAAGATAGTTATTTCTGAACCAGGAAGCAGGTCTTCACCAGATACCAAATGTGTTGGCATCTCGATCTTGGACTTCTCAGATCCCGGAACTGTGAGAAGTAAATGTTTCATATTAAAGGCTCCCAGTCTATGATTGTTTGTTGTAGCAGCCCAATCATACTAAGATAGTAGCTTATTGAGATAAGCAATTATCCCTGGGTTGCCAAAGTTTAAGAATTAAGTTTATAAGTCAGGTTTCCAGCCCCTTCATTTTATAGTCATTAAGAATTTTTCTTACTTTCTTGTGAGAACATTCAAGTGGTTAAAACTATGTATAATATACTGTATCCTACAATTTAAGTATATAGTTGTAAAATATTTTAAATTTACATACTTTGCTATATTTAAATAAATTAATAACCTTACTTTTTTATACTTCCTAAATTTCCAAAAACTTAAAACACGAAATGTCATGTGGCCTGGCACTAATTATATGTGCAACCACTTCACAAGCTCTCCTTTTATTTTTTTTAAATATATTTTTATTGATTTCAGAGAGGAAGTGAGAGGGAGAAAGAGAGAGAATCATCAATGATGAGAGAGAATCATTGATTGGCTGCCTCCTGCACACCCCCTACTGGGGATTAAGCCCGCAACCCAAGCATGTAACCTTGACCAGAATCGAACCCAGGACCCTTCAGTCCACAGACTGACGCTCTATCCACCAAGCCAAACCGGCTAGGGCCACAAGCTCTCCTTTTATATCCCAACCTATAATCATTCTCCACTCCTTTTCCTAAGTTTTTAATGCGGACACTTATCAGATATAGACTACTAGATTTTAAACTACTTTAAACATTAGCTATAAATATTTAGAATGTGAGTGTTTTCCTAGCTAAATTGTCAGAGGCAAGCAGGGAGGAAGCTAAAGATGAAACAAGAAGATAAAAGTTTGGGAAATAAATCCTCATAGTAATCTGCATATGAAGTATGGTATTAAGTATACTGTTGCTATGGTTATGTAAATAAGATTAATTGACAGTACCTCTCACATATTTCTGCCTTGCCTCATTCCATTCTCTGTATTCCAAGATTATTAAAATTGTTAGGCTGCTTTTAATCATAAATACCACAATAGACATTATGAGTATTGTTATAATACCTAAATCCAGTTATTTAAATGACTTCAAGAGCATTGTCACAAAAGGAGACTTTCTTACCAAGCACCTTCAATTCCTGCACAGCTTCTTTAGTAAAGTTACCATCTTTAAACAAACAGCGGTACTTTCCACCATCAGATACACTGACATTTTGGATCCTGAGAGTTATGTTGCCCTTTCCAATGTCTTCCTTCAAGATTTCTGTTCTTTCGATGTTATCTAGGCTAGTTTCTCTGTAGTGGTCATTACCCCTTTTGTACAGTTGAAGAGGTTTGGTGAAGGATTTATGGTACCAATATACCTCCATGTGCTCTGCATTTTGTGCTGGGGAGATGTGGCAATGCAGCTTTACTTCTTCACCTACTAGGGCCACCATAGGTCCAACAGGACTATCCACAGTAAATAGTTCTGTAGAGAGAGAAAGACCAATGGTTCAGTGAGTAGATACTGTTCTTGCCCATGAACATAATTAGAATTTTATTTTATAACCCCCCCTTATTTTTGCTTTCAAGACTTTTACTTATGTATCTGAATCTGAGAAGACAAACCATACTTGATGCACCAAATAAAAACTGGGAGGAGAATGGCACCTTGTCAAAATATAATCAACTTCACAGAAGAAATTTCAAATCTGTAGACAAATCCTTGGTTATATCAAAAGAGGTATAAGAAAAAAAGATATTTTTTTCTTATTTTTGTTGTTGTTGCTGTTACAGACAGTATAGAAAAGGAGGAAAGAGAGGAACGGGAGGAGAGAAAAGATATGTAGAAATATAATGACATAGTGGCTAAAAAATTTACTATGATTTTATTTTGATAAATACATAAAACTTTTATTATATAAAATTTGCCATCTTATTTTAACCATTTAGAGTGTATAATAGAGTGGCATTATTATATTTACAATGTCGTATAATTATCACTATGATATACATGAGTATTTCCAATTTTTTAAAATAACTTTAAACAGAAATTATGTGCCCATTAAGCAACAAATCTCCACTTTCCTTACCCAGCCCCTAGTAACTTCTAACCTAGTTTATTTTTCTCAATGAATTTGCCTCTTCTAGACATTCTGTATAAGTGGGGGTCAGACAATATTTGTCCATTTGTGTCTGGTTTATTTCACTTAGCATTTATGTTTTCAAGGTTCATCCATATGGTAGCATGTTTAAATTCCTGTTTTCAATTCTATTGAGTATGTACCTAAGAGTGGGATCTCTGGGTCATATAACAATTATATACTTAATTTTTTGAGGAATTTCTAAATTGTTTGCCCCAGCAGCTGTATGATTTTAGATTCCCACCAGCTATGTATGAGGGTTCAAATTGCTCCACAAACTAGCCAAAACTATTTTCCCCTATTTCTGTTGTTATTATTATAACCATCACAGTAGCTGATTTATAGTCTCTTAATGATTAGTGATACTGAGCTTTCTTCATGTGGTTATTGGCCATTTGTATATCTTCTTTGGAAAAATGTCTATTCTAGTCCTGTGCACATTTTTAAATTGGGATGTTTGTCTTTTTGTTCTTGGAATGTAAATTTTTGTTATACAGGAGTGGACAAAAGTAGATTTACAATTGTAAGTATATGAAACACAGAGTTTATTTTTATATTATTATTTATTAAATATTGTATTATTTTTCATACAAACAATTATAAACCTACTTTTGCCTACCTCATGTATATTCTAGATATTAAATGCTTATCATATATATGACAAAAACTAGAGGGCCGTTGCACGAAATTTATGCACAATGGGGGAGGGTCCCTCAGCCCAACCTGCACCCTCTCGCAATCCAGTACCCCTCAGGGGATGTTGGACTGCCAGTTTCAGGCCTAAACCGGCAGTTGGACATCCATCTCGCAATCTGGGACCACTGGCTCCTAACTGCTCACTTGCCTGCCTGTCTGATCGTCCCTAATCACTCTGAATGCCTGCCTGATCGCTCCTAACCGCTCACCTGCCTGCCTGATTGCCTCTAACCCCTCTGCCTGCCTGCCTGATCTCCCCTAACCACACACTTGTCTGCCTGATCGCTCCTAACCACTTGCCTGTCTGCCTGATTGCCCCTAACTGCCTCTGCCTGCCTGCCTGATCACCCCTAACTACTTGCCTGCCTGTCTGGGATCCCTCATGGACAATCTCTATTGATTTATTCCTTCCTCATATGGCCTAAAATTTCTTCATTCTTTGCATGCATTTTAATTTTTAAAACTGGAAATTTTGAGTATTATAATGTGGCAACTCTGGAAATTAGAGTTTTCCCTTTCCATAGGTCATTGCTGCTTTTTGTATTTTTAATTAATTTTTGAATTAATTTTATTAATTCTACATTCTTATACTGTGTTTCCACTAATTTATTAGCACCTCATGGTCAGCTAATGATCATACAGAGACTCCCTTAATGTCTACCCTCCCCCAAATTTCCCAGTATTTGCAGAGGGGTTCTGTGTGTGTGTGTTAGGACACACTTTCCACAATCAGTTATTTTAAACTTTGCGTTATCCCTCACTTCGTGTGTTATAGAATCTTGGAATCAGCTAGAGATGATAGATGAGGACCTTCTCAGGTCTTCTGCAAGTATGTCCCTCACCCTTGGTATATACATGTTCTAGATTCCATTGATATGTCTGAGCTTTCCAAAGCACTTTAATTCCCAAGGCATTTTATTCTCAAACCTTCCCTCTAAAGCAGCGGCTCTCAACCTGTAGGTCGCGACCCCTTTGCGGGTCGAACGACCCTTTCACAGGGGTCGCCTAAGACCATCGGAAAACACATATATAATTACATATTGTTTTTGTGATTAATCACTATGCTTTAATTATGTTCAATTTGTAACAATAAAAATACATCCTGTATATCAGATATTTACATTACGATTCATAACAGTAGCAAAATTATAGTTATGAAGCAGCAACGAAAATAATTTTATGGTTGGGGGCCACCACATCATGAGGAACTGTATTAAAGGGTTGCTGCATTAGGAAGGTTGAGAACCACTGCTCTAAAGCTTCTTACTTATTCTATTACTTTACTCAATTTTTACCTATTGCCACAGGCAGCATCCATTAAAGTATTTGCTTGTAATCAAACACTAACCTCTCCCTACAAGTAGTTGTTTTAGCATTTGGCACATGCCAATTTTGACAACTTTGAAAGATGAAGGCAAGTCTTTTGAGCCAGTTTTCCAAAGAGGCATTGGACAGATCAAAACTAAAAATTGTAAATTTTTACAAATAAGGTCCACTTTGCTCCTTCTGATCTGATATAGTAACATTGGCTATTATTCTCAAGGCAACTGCTGAACTGGAAGTCAGGAGATAGGATCAGGTTAAGCTAAAAACAAAAATGTTTGTAGAGCTAGAGAGAAACATCAATGTGTGAGAGAGAGAGACATTGATTGGTTACCTCCAGCCCACTCCCTAACCTAGGCCAGGGATCCAACCTGCAACAGAGGTATGTGCTCTTGACTAGAAATTAAACCCACTCAAACCACTGAGAAAAACTGGCCAGGGCAGGTTTTTAACATTGAAGTATCACTTTGTTTATCTACTTAACTGAAGTTTTATTTTCATGCTGTGTTTAATTCTGTATACTACTATTACATTCATAATTCTTGCATAAATTCACATGTTGCAATTTTGTGCTATTTTGCTGTTATTAATCCTCACCCAAGGATATTTTTCCATTGATTTTTAGAGAGAGTGGAAAGGGGGGAGAAGACAAAGAGAGAGAGAAATTTTGATGTTAGAGAGACACATAGTTTGGTTGTGAGGGAAGCCACCCACTGCTGATACTATCATGACAGTGCACCAAGGAACACGGAAGGCCTATGGAACTTGGGTGTTAGCAGGGCTGACGCTAAGCACCTCATCTGTTGAGATAGTGGTGGCTCAAGATTTCAACAGTAGACTAGGAGAAGCAGTGGACTGAATTAGTGAGTTAGAAGATAAGGTAGAAAAACAAGCCCAATCTGAACAGAAACTGGAGAAAAAAATTAAAAAGCAGGAGAGCCTAAGGCAGCTTTGGGACAACACAAAATGAAGTAACATATGTATAATAGGGCTGCCAGAAGGACAAGAAGAGCAGCAAGGATTAGAAAATCTATTTGAAGAAATAATGACAGAAAACTTCCCTGATATGGGGAAGAAAAAAGTTACACAAGGACAAAGTCCCAGCCAAGATGAATCCCAAAAGACCCACACCAAGACATGTCATAATTAGAATGGCAAATCTTAACGACAAAGAGAGGATCTTAAAGGTTGCAAGAGAGAAACAGAGATTTACCTACAAATGATCCCCCATCAGATTATCCAATGATTTCTCAATAGGAACACATCAAGATAGAAGGGAATGGAAGGAAGTATACAATGTGATGCAAAGCAAAGGACTGAATCCAAGAATACTCTATCCAGCAAGACTATCAATCAAAATTGAAGGGGAAATCAGGAGCTTTGCAGACAAAAAAAGGCTAAGGGAGTTTATCACTACCAAGCCAGCAATGCAAGAAATGCTAAAGGGAATGCTGTAAAAAGAAGAAATAGACAGGGAGGAAGGAACACAGGCATAAAGTATAGAAATGGCTGCAAACAAGTACCTATCAATAATAACATTAAACGCAAATGGATTAAATGCTTCAATCAAAAGACATTGAGTGACTGAATGGATAAGAAAAAATGACCCATATATATGCTGTGTATAGGAAAGCCACCTCAGAACAAGGAACTCACACAGACTGAAAGTGAAGGGATGGAAAAATATCTATCAGGCAAATGGAAATGAAAAAAAAAAAGCTGGGGTAGCAATACTTATATCCGACAAAATAGACCTCAAAGTGAAGGCCATAACAAGAGATAAGGAAGGCCACTTCATAATACTAAAGGGATCAATACAACAAGAGGATATAACCCTGATAAACATATATGCACCCAATGCAGGAGCACCCACATACATAAGAAAACTCCTGGAAGACATCAGGGGAGAGATCGACAACAATACAATCATAGTAGGGGACTTTAATACACCACTGACATCACTGGATAAATCTGCTAGACAAAAAATCAGCAAAGAAACAGCAATCCTAAATGACTCACTAGATCAGATGGACTTAATTGACATCTTCAGAACACTTCACCCCAAAGCAACAAAATATACGTTCTTCTCAAGTGCTCATGGGACATCTTCAAAAATAGACCACATATTGGGTCACAAACAAAGTCTCCCCAAATTCAAGAAGATTGAAATCATACCAAGCATCTTCTCAGACCACAAGGGCATAATATTAGAAATAAACTACAATAAAAACAACCCAAAATACTCAAACACTTGGAAGCTGAATAGCATGTTATTAAATATTGATTGGGTTACCAATGACATCAAAGAAGAAATTAAAAACATCCT